TTCCAGTCGTAAGAAACATGATGCTGAAAGGCCATGACATATGAGAATGGTGTTAAAGGAAACAAAGCTGTGTGACTAGAGAGTAAGTGTATAGAATAGGGAAGAAGTGGTAAGGGGGCTGCGCTGCTAGAGAGCAGGTGGGGTCACATGAGCCATGAACCACGGAAGGGTTTTTTATCCAGAGGAGTTACAGGGTCAGAAAGAGGGAGCGGTGATTCACTGTGAAAGAAGGAAGAAGGCCTCTCTCTGAGCACCTGGTCCTCTGATGTGTCAGAAGGAGGCTCAAGTGTTGGAGATCAGGTGTCAGTGGGACTGCCACATGCCTTTGGAAAGAATGGAGGGCTCGCTCTTGCAAAGAGAATCCTAGACTCCTCGCGGTATTCTCCTGGGCTAGTTCTGGGAGGGATGGAGATAAATACGATGATATGTGACATAGTAGATTTCCAAATGTTAGTTTTAAAACTAAACAAAGTAGTAGGAAATTGGGTTAAATATATATATTTTTTTATTGTAAGTGTTGTAGGAATTCAGATTTAGAAGATAACCATTGAAAGCTAGAGTGGTCAGTGATGGGAAGTAAGACTTGAGCTATCCTTGAACATTGAAGACAAGATAGATGGGCAGATAGGAACAGGAGTCCCTCCAAGCAAGGGAAGCAACTGGAAAAAGATGCGGAAGCAGGGGGCAGGGTCTGGGTTGGAGAGGAGGAGAGAGGCAGTGAAGCTGAGTACAGGGCCTGGGCAAAAGAGTAGAAGTCCTTTTATTAAATTTATTTTTTTAAGAGTTGGGGTCTTGTTATATTGCCCAGGCTGATCTCGAACTCCTGGCCTCAAGTGATCCTCCCACCTCAGCCTCCCAAAGTCCTCGGATTACAGGCATGAGCCACTGCACCCAGCCACGATGTAGAAGTCCTTGAAGGACAGATGCTTACCTCTGAGACATTAGGAAAAGCTACTGATAGGATGAAAGTGGCTTAGCAAGATCAGGTGATTTTGAAAGACACAATGCATTATTATCTATTGTAGTCACCATCCTGTACAATAGATCACTGAAGCTTATTCCTCCTGTCTAACTGGAATTTTGTACCCTTTGATAAAAATCTCTCCTTTCCCCATTCATCCCCTTTCCTAGCCTCTGATAACCACCATTCTACTCTCTAATTCTGTGAGTTTGACTTTTTTAGATTTTACATGTGCGAGCATACCTTGAAGATATTGCAGGTTCAGGTCTAGACCACTGTAGTAAAGCAAATATTGTAATAAAATGAATCCCACATTTCTTTTTTTGTTTCTCAGTGCATATAAAAGTTATGTTTACACTATTCTGTAGCCTATTAATTATGCAATAGCATGTCTAAAAACGTACATACCTTAATTTAAAAATGCTTTATTGATAAAAAGTGCTAGTGATCACCTGAGCTTTTGGTGAGTCATGATCTTTTTTCCAGTGGAGGGTCTTGCTTTGATGTTGATGGCTGCTGACTGATCAGGGTAGTGATTACTAAATGTTGGCGTGGCTGTGGCAGTTTTTAAAAATAAACAGTGATTTTATTTTATAAAATTATTTTATAAAAATTTTACTTTATAAAGTTTTTAAAATACAATAAAAATTTTGTTTTATAAAAATAAATTAAAAAAAAAAAAACAGTGAAGTTTGCCACATTGATAGACTCTTCCTGTCATGAAAGATTTCTCTGTAGCTTATGATGCAGTTTCATAGCACTTTACCCATAGTAGAACATCTTTTGAAATTGGAGTCAATCTTCTTAAACTTTGCCACTATTTTATCTATTAAGTTTATGTAATAAATCCATTGTAATTTCAGCAGTGTTCACAGCATCTTCACCAGGATAGATTCCCTCTCAAGAAACCACTTCTTTGAAGTAAATTCTCATGCATTCATGTTTTATCATGAAATTGCAGCAATTCAGTCAAAACTTAAGGTTCTACATCTAATTCTAGTTCTCTTGCTATTTCCATCACATTTGCAGTTATTCTTCCACTGAAGTCTTGAATCCTTCAAAGTCATCCATGAGAGTTGGAATCAAATCTTCCAAATTTTTCTTAATGTTGCTAATTTGACCTCCTCCTCATAAATGTTCTTAATGGCATCTAGAATGGTGAATTCTTTCCATAAGGTTTTCAATTTACTTTGCCCTGATTCATCAGAGGAATCACGATCTAGGCAATAATAGCCTTATAAAATGTATTTCTTAAATAATAAAAACTTGAATGTCAAAATTACCCCTTGGGCCATGGGCTGCAGAATGGACATTGTGTTAGCAGCATGAAAACAACATTAATCTTATACATCTCCACTGAGCCCTTGGGTGACTAGGTGCATTGTCAATGAGCAGTAATATTTTGGAATCAATTTTTTTTTTGAGCAGTAGGTCTCAACAGTGGGCTTAAAATATTCAGTAAACCATGCTGTAAATAGATGTGCTGCCATTTATAGAGCACAGTCAGGGTACATTTAACATAATTCTTAAAGGCTGTAGGATTTGCAGAATAGTAAATGAGCCTTGGCTTCAACTTAGAAGAAACCAGCTGCATTAATCCCTAATGAGAGTCAGCCTGTCCTTTGAAGCTTTGAAGACAGGCATTGACTTTTCCTTTCTAGCTGTGAAAGTCCTAGCTGGGATATTCTTTGGATATAGGCTGTTTCTTCTGCATTGAGTATCTCCATGTTATCAATAAGGTTGTTTTCCTTTCTTATTGTTGGCGTGTTCACCAGTGTAGTTCTTTTAATTTCCTTGAATAACTTTTTCTTTACATTCATAACTTGGCTATTGTTTGGTGGAAGTGGCATAGGTTTTGGCTTATCTTAGCTTTCTACATGCCTTCTTCACTAAGCTTAATCATTTCCAGCTTTTGATTTAAAGTGAGAAACTTGCAACTCTTCCTTTCACTTGAACACTTAGAGGCCATTGTAGGGTTATTAACTGGTGTAATTTTAATATCGATGTGTCTTAGGAAATAAGGAGGCCCAAGGTGAGGGAGAGAGATGGGGGGAAAGCCATTCAGCAGAGCAGTCAGAAAATATACGACATTTATTGATTTAAGTTTGCCGTCTTATATGGATGTGGTTTGCGGCACTCCAAAACAATTAAAATAGTAACATCACAGAGTTCTGGATCAGCCTGGGCAACACAGCAAAACATGTCTCTACAAAAAAACACAAAAATCAGCTGGGCGTGTTGGTGTTTGCCCGTACTCAGCACTACTCGGGAGGCTGAGGTGGGAGGATGAGTCGAGATCATGCCACGGTACTCCAGCTTGGGCAACAGAGCCAGACCGCGTCTCAAAAAGAAAAAAAAAAAAATCACAAATCATAGATCACCTTGACAGATTTAATAATGGAAAAGTTTGAAATTTGATGAGAATTACCAAATTTTAACAAATGTGAATGAGCACATGCTGTTGGGAGAATGGCACTGGTAAACTTGCTCAGTGCAGTTACTATAAACCTTCAATTTGTAAAAAACACAATATCTATAAAGAGCAATAAAATAATGTGTGCCTATGTTACTAAAAGGTTGACTTTACATATTTTCATTGCATAAAAATGAAAGCATGGGCCGGGCGCAGTGGCTCAAGCCTGTAATCCCAGCACTTTGGGAGGCTGAGGCGGGTGGATCATGAGGTCAAGAGATTGAGACCATCCTGGCCAACAAGGTAAAAACCCGTCTCTACTAAAAATACAACAAAAATCAGCTGGGCGTGGTGGTGTGTGCCTGTAGTCCCAGCTACACGGGAGGCTGAGGCAGGAGAATTGCTTGAACTGGGGAGGAGGAGGTTGCAGTGAGCCGAGGTTGCGCCACTGCACTCCAGCCTGGCAACAAAGCGAGACTCTGTCTAAAAAAAAAAAAAAAAGAAAGTATGCGAGCTGATGGATTTTGTTTATATTAATCATATATCAAATGTAAAAATATCAAAACATCACCTTGTACTCTATAAATATATAAAATATACAATTATTTGTCAATTAAAAATAAAATATTTAAATGTAATAAAAAAGAAATAAATTTTTCCAAAAATATTAATTAGGTGGCTATGGATGGATGGATTGTGCAGGTACAAGGGAACAGTCTGTCAGGCTTTTGCCTGCAGTAATAAGGTTTATGTTCTACAATAAGATCATGGAAGGACCATTGGGAGGGACTTTTCTTCTAGCCGGTGATCAATAGGGCTTGGTGTGGGGATGGTGGAGCCACAGGGAGCCAAAGGTTTGAGGGTTGGGGCCTAGGAGAACCGTGGTAACATTGAGAGACATAGTAGATTGGGAAGAGAAGCTGGTCTATAGGACTGGAAGAGAAGACTTTTTAAAATTGAAATCATCACATCTGACGCCATGAGTGTCAGAGCTTTATGGACAGTTGGAGCTATGAGACCTGTGGCCACTAGTGAGGTTTTGAAATCATTACAGCACAGTTAGGGCAGGAGCCAGACTGCAAAGAATAATGGAAGATGATGAAAAAGCCACATCTTCTTAGATGGTAGCTTTTTTCATGAATTGCATGAAGGAGGAGAAATACATAGTAGTTACAAGGGACATTAAGTAGAATCCTTAAGCTGGGATAGGGCATAGAAACCTCCAGATTAATTCCTTATAAATTCTTAACGCATGTATGATCACCGATATCATATTTCTTTCATCCATCTCTTCATTCATTCACCACGTGTCTGCATGCTAGGCGTTCTGGCTACTTCTCCCCTTTACTTCCGTGTGGGCTAAGTGCCGGAGCAGCCCCTTAGCAGTCATTACCAGTGTAGCAGTAACAGGACTTGGGCTAAGGACACCTGGAATAATAAGTCACCATCTTTTCTTCCCTTAATTTTAGCTAATGTTTCTTTCCCTCCTTCCCATGGGAAGGTTGCAGGCCTAGTTGTCAGTGATTCCAGCCATGTGTTCTGAGTGCTGCTAGATGTTAATGCTGTGAATTTCAAGAACTGTTTTTAAACAATGTGTTTGTTGTTGTTTTTTTGTGGTTATAACAGGTAGAGTGGAACCCCCAGCTATTAGAGGTCCCACCCCAAACTCAGTTTGATTACACAGTCACCAGTCTAATTGGCGGTCCGAAACCACCTTCTCCTTACGACTCTCAATACCATGAGACCATCCTGAAGGTGAGCAATGCTTCCTTGCTCTGGGGAGCCCCACTGCAAAGCTTGGGTGGTTTTCTCTGGGCTGAGTTCAGCAGGCTGTCGGGTGTTTTCATTCTTCCTTTCTTTCTTCCCTACTTCAGGGGGGCATGTTTGCGGGGCAGCTGACCAAGGTGGGCATGCAGCAGATGTTTACCTTGGGAGAGAGACTGAGGAAGAACTATGTAGAAGACATCCCCTTTCTTTCACCGACCTTCAACCCACAGGAGGTCTTGTGAGTCACTTGAAAAGGGATGGATGTTGCACTTGATTTAAGGTCTTGAGCATGAGGATACCTGTCCTGACAGCCCAAGATGGTTCCCACTCTCACCCAAGGTAGTCCGGAGGACAACTTGTCATGATGCAGTTACCCTTATGCCACAGGATCCTGTGAATGGGTGGTTCCTGGAGGTCACATTCATTGGTCTTTGAGTCTCTTAGGGACAGACATCCCACAGAAAAGTGAAGCATTCTTCCTAGCCCCGTAGCTCTCCTATGTACTCTTGAAAGACTCCTGGAGTCTCTGTGGACTAAAGTGTATATATTTAAATATTCCTTTTATGAGTGTCATTATCTTTTAATTTTTTTTCAGTATTCGTTCCACTAACATATTCCGGAATCTGGAGTCCACCCGTTGTTTGCTAGCTGGGCTTTTCCAATGTCAGAAAGAAGGTTCGTATCTGAGGTCCCAAACTCAATCTCTGTCTTGAGGGGCTCTTGCTTCTCACTTCCAAAGCCCCTGTCTCTTTCTTGGTGACTGTTCCATTGATTTTATTTTTCTCCTGCGTATGTGACTTCCAGTGTGTGCCCAGTCCAGTGGGTCCTTCCCTGTCGGGCCTTATGCTCCCCCTGCTAGCCTGCCCTCAACAGCAGCAGCAGTGTACCAGCTGCTCTGATCTGCCTCTGGCTCCTCGCTTCTCCCATCAAGCTTCTACACAAGCTGCACAAGGCAGTCCTAACCATGTTTTATGAACAATCGAGGGGGCTTTTTGTTTAGGTGAGACTGCTGAAAAGGAAGGACACTTAGCTGGGACCCAATACTGCTACTACTGCCCTAATCTTGGTGATCATCCATAGCATAAACAGCGTTCTGTCTAGCCTTTCCTAGTTGAGAAAGTCCATCGAGTTTGGGTTTTGGCAATTCAGCCCCTGAATGGTTGCAGTCAGTGATTCCCAGCCTTTTCATCCCGAAGGACTGCGTTAATTATTTCCCCTTGTGGATCTCCTGTGTTGAGAGCCTTTGGTCATCACATGAACCTGCATTTTGTCATTTGTAATTGGCTCAAATTTACATTTAATCACTGGTCTGAATTTCGGATCATCATGACCTCGCTAAAAAGGTGCCATAAAGCAAAGGTTCTTGTTACTTTGTTTAGCTTTTTGGCAGTATCTCAAATAGAAACAAAATTTCCATCACGCTTTTTAACATATATGTAGAATAATAGAACCTTCAGGAAAGAGGAGTCTGATTTCGCCCCAGCTGGGTTGGATGCTGCTGCTCATTCTGGCTGTAGTTGGCTGCTGCACACAAACAGCATGTGTCTAGGTAACATAAAGCAGGATGGGTTCCCCCTTACTTCTTGGGAGGCCTTGAATGATCCACAGCACCCGATCTTCTGAAAGCTATCAATTGCTCAGCTTCTAAAAGACAAGATCTTTCGGACACATCAGAAGTGCTACTGAGAAGGAAAGATATTTCTTGGTGGCAACATTCTGTTTAGCAGGTCCCAGACTGAGAATGCCCCAGGTTTCTAGCAGGGAAGGAAATCTCTAATATCAGGCGTGTCTGTCTGGGTCGCAGCTCCCTGCACTGGAAACACAGGTGTTGAGACTCCAGTTTGGCTTCATTCCTAGCTACTTCCATGCCTTTCCTATGGGAAGGAACTTGACTAAAGAATCCCAGAAGGTACCGCTGTGAATGGAAGTGGTGCAACTTTGGGATATTGCTTTAGGGGTAAAATCCTAGAAAAATTCCAGAAGTTACATGTGAGCTACAGCGAATCAGGCTGTGGGAAAGCTGGAGATTGTTGGTCTGCCCACTTGGCCAGTCATTTGCTCTGTGTACATTTGTCTACTCAAGTGTGCCGTATTTATCATAAGCTGTGGGTCCAAAATCCAGACACCAATGTCAGACTCCAGATATTAGAGGTTTATAATATTATTAGTGTTATATTACAGGTTTAAGTCATAGTTATTCTATCACATAAAGGACTTAGTACAGTCATTCCACAGTATCCAAAAGGGATTGGTTCCAGGAGAACCCTCACCTCTGGCAGATACCAAAATCTACGGATGCTCAAGTCCCTTATGTAGAATGGCATAGCTTTGCATATAACCTATGTCCTTCCTCCCATGTACTTCAGATCACCTCTAGATTACTTATAATACCCACTACAATATAAATGCTGTATATTATCCTGTACTGTTTTCTAATTTATGTTATTTCTATTGTGTTATTTTGTATTGTTCTTTTTTCTCAAATACTGTTAATCCATGGTTTCTTGAATCCATGGATGTGGAACCCAAGGACATGGAGGACCAATGTATGCAGCAAGCTCTGTTCTAAGAACTTCACATATATTAACTTGTTTAATTCTTGTAATAACCCTGTGAGTTAGGTATCGTTATCCCCTTTAACAGATAAGAGAACCAGGACACAGAGAGGCTAAATGACTTGCCCAGGTATACAAAACTGGTCAATAGTGGAATTAGGATTCAAACTCTGGCAGTTTTGGTTCCCAATCCTACTTTTTCCTTTTATGCTCAGCTGTTTCTTTGAGGACGTGTATATCTGGAGGCAGCATTTGGTTTGTCCTTTTCACAACACATGCTGCAGAACCTCCAGGATTCTTCAGAGGCGTCTCAGGAAGTACAGAAAAGGAGGGATGGGACATGTGAGGGACTGTGCCTAGGATCTCCACCTTGCAGCCGTCAGCACCTCTCCCTTTATTACCACACTTTATAGTTGCAGGGTGGGGAGGTTCTGTTGCTTATATAGTTCCACCCCTTCCATTTACAGATGAACCCCAGAGAATGGTAGTGACTTCCCAAGAAAACTCGGTTGGTTCGTTGTAAACTGAAGACTAAACTCATGACTTTCAGTCTGGTTTCTTCTTCTGTCCAGACCAATGATGTGTGTGTGAATTCTGATATTCTAATAAAGTTATAGGCTATTTTTAAAGCCCTTGGTTCTGACTATCAGTAATTTGGGAATAAATATCTCTTTGATCGATTGAGCTGATCACACTCGTAGAGTGACCTCAGTGAATCCCAGATTGCTGCTGGGAATCTATTTCTAATGCCGTCAGGCTTGAGAGGTGTGGAAAAAGAACCTACCACAGGCACTTGCCATCTCTGCCACAGAGCAAAGCATGGGAAGGCGTTAGAACACCTTCTTTTGGCATTGATGGGAGGAGACGAGGGTCCCGAGGTGCTCTCAGCAACAGTGAGCTGCCATGAAGTACAGAAGAAACATTGTTTGAAGTTCATTTGGTTAGATCTTTGGTTAGACCAGCAATTCATCTAGAAGCCTGGTGTTTTATTTTGGGCAAGGCTATGGGGTCTGGGAGGATCTGTGGTCTTGTGTCCACTTGTCTCAGTTTGTTGTGTGATAAATCACCATAGTGGCCTCTAAGATCAGGCTTCAGGAAGCAAGAAAGTATTTTAGTTCTGATAACGTTGTTCTTTATTAAAATGCCCAAGTGCTGGCAGTGCTTTACAGCAGGGATTGTTTGGAAGGGGTCAGGGAGTTGCCAGTCTGATTCAGGTCTATTACCTGCTCTGGTCTATTTGTGGCCCAATAGGAGGGCTTGTGCTAGTCAGAACAAGGCTGCTGCGACTTACTTTTTCCATTGCTCAGATTATAGGAGACCCCCTATCGCAGGGCCAGGCTATGTTGAAGGCATTCACTGTCCTTAAGGAGTAACCTTGATGATCTGCCTCTCGGAGCAGATCTCTGCTCCATCTCTGTAGACAAAGTGAGAGAAGAAGGGGGTGGAGATGCTGGGAAGAACACGCTGAAGCCTCTGCCTGCCTGTGCTCCCTGCATTTCTTCCAGGACCCATCATCATCCACACTGATGAAGCACACTCAGAAGTCTTGTATCCCAACTACCAAAACTGCTGGAGTCTGAGGCAGAGAGCCAGGTAACTGCCTCTGGGTTCTTCCTTACCAGCGGGGGACAGCCTTTTACCACCTTTGCTGGCAGAACTCTGTACTGAGGGCCTGCCCAGGCTAACCCTACTGGTGGATAATGGATGGGAAGGTTTAAATTACACTTAGGTGTGACATCGGCTGTCTTGGAAGTGAGGAAGTCTTGTTCACAGTGACAGACTCATGGCGAAGGTCAGAAATTCTGGGAAGAGCTGCACGCTGGGCTAGAGAGATGATATATCAGCCACGAGTGGGGCTTTGCCATTTACAAAGTATGATCCTCCTGACAACCGCAGGCTCTCAGGTGGGGCAGATGAGGAAACCAGCAGGTTAAATGAAAGATGACTGAGACTGTCTTTGACCTGCAAACCCAGGTGCACAAGTCCAGGAAGGCACAGACTTCCCTTCTCTTTCCAACATGTTTCTGCGCAGCATAGATCAGTTTGGGCAGACGACATTCTCAGTTATCAGGTATCTCTAGGCTACACTAAGACTATGGCATTTAATACTATATGGTATTTATTCCATAAAGAAAAGAGAGTGCTGTTTTCAGACAGACTTGGGCCTTGCCTGCATCCTTTTTGATATAATGCAAATGCTAGAGTGAGATCTGGAAAATTCATCCTTTGATCCTAACCATGGTCATTACTAACTTATGTTTACAAGTCATTTGACCTTATAGAGCCTTAGTTTATTCATCCATAACACTGGGATAATACTGGCTAACCCCAGTGGGTGGTTACAGGGATTAAATGATATCCTAAGTGCGAAGCACACTTTGTAAACTGTTCATCGCTATAGAATATAAGGCATTACTTTTTATTTTTTGTCAGAGGCCGGAGGCAGGCTGCCTCTTTACAGCCAGGAATCTCAGAGGATTTGAAAAAGGTGAAGGAAGGGATAGGCGTTGACAGTAGTGATGAAGTAGACTTCCTCATCCTCTTGGACAATGTGGCTGCTGAACAGGTGAGACCTGGGGTTGGGGATCCTGCGATCATATGTCCCTTGGTGGGCTGACTCCTGACTTAGAACTGGGTGGAGAGAAGTGGGCAGAGGCCTGGTTTGGAGGCAACTGTAATAGGACCTGTAGAGAGAATGGATGTGGGGACCGAGGGATAGGGAGCAGTGGAGGAAGGCTCCCTACCCAGTTGGGAACACAGACGCTGAACTCTCTCAAGCAGAACTTCTTGAGGCGTGTTCCCCAGACGCCGGATATGCAGGAGTGTGTTTGGGTAGGCGGGGTAATGGGTGGGGGGATGGATAGGGTCTAGGAATTTTGGAATCCCTATTTATTGTATCACTTCTTGAGAGTCCTATATGTACATCAGCATATTTAAAAAATCTGAGATGCCCTTAATAAAGAAAACTGCTTGATCTTTAAGTCTGTTTTCCTCAAGCTTACTTGGCCATGTAATCTTTTTCTGTAATAAATACATAAAGAAGACTAACAATGGGAAATGTTTCTCTAGATACAAAAGTTGGACACCCAAAGATGTATAGGCTCTTTCCTCTTTCTCTTGTGAAAATAAAATGACAGTGTACCCTGAAGGCAGAAATGCACCTTGCTCTTACGTGTAAAACAGGTTTAAGGCTAGAAGGCAAGAGTTTGTGTCATATATTTGTATGGCATATNAATGACAGTGTACCCTGAAGGCAGAAATGCACCTTGCTCTTACGTGTAAAACAGGTTTAAGGCTAGAAGGCAAGAGTTTGTGTCATATATTTGTAAGTCATTTTGGGGAAAATGAAGGTCAAGTAGGAATTTATGAATTTCTTGCTTTGTATTGTATTCGTCTTTTTTTTAAGTTAAAGAATACAGCCCAGGTGCAGTGGCTCATGCCTGTAATCTCAGCACTTTGGGAGACTGAGGCAGGCAGAGCACGCTTGTCAGTTCAAGACCAGCCTTGCCAATATGGTGAAACCCATCTCTACTAAAAACACAAAAATTAGCCGGGTGTGGTGGTGCGCACCTGTAGTCCCAGCTACTTGGGAGACTGAGGCAGAAGAATCACTTGAACCTGGGAGGTGGAGGTTATAGTGAGTCATGATCGCACCACTGCATTCTAGCCTGGGCAACAGAGTGAGACTCTGTCTCAAAAAAAAAAAAAAATTATAAATGCTTTTCATTTTGGAGTGGATGGGGAGCCATCAGAAAGGGAAGACACCCCCTTTTTTTCCCTAGCCATCAGATATCTAGTAATAGCTTTGGAAGAGCTTTAGAGACAGCTTCTTGAGCTAGGAGAAGACGGGCTCCTGCAGGTTCCATGGAAGTTGATCAGCTGCTACAATCAGTAGCTGAGAAGCATTTTTTTCTGAAACTACCTGTGGCCCTTTCAGGCACACAGCCTCCCAAGCTGCCCTATGCTGAAGAGATTTGCACGGATAATTGAACAGAGAGCTGTGGACACATCGTTGTACGTACTGCAGACGGAAGACAGGTGAGGGGCCCCTCATGGCTGGCGTGAAGTCAGGCTTGGTCAGATACCCAAGTGTACGGGGCAGAGGAGTTCATCAGGCCCACTCCCACCTGGCAGCTGATGTCTCTGTGTGTAAGGAGAGGCTGAACCTCACTCTCTCCGCCTGCCAGTAGGCCCCAGGTCCTCGCCCTTCTGCAGCTGGGACTGGTGACCTAGTGCTTCTGTTTCCTGTTATGCAGAACCAGGAGCCACCCCCCTCCTGACTTTATCACTTGCCTTTTCCTTTTGCTTTAAGGTTTAAAGGATTTGCGTGGGGGGGGCCGAGGAAAGAATATTTATTTCTCTCTTTATTCATCATGTTACAATTTACAAATGATTTTCACATTCTCACTGTGAGAATGAGATACCTTTCCCCCTGGCTTTGTAGATAAAGAAACTGAGGCTGGGAGATACTGCCTACCCAGCTAGCGAGTGGCAGAGCCAGAGCTTGAACCCAGATCCACTGACTGCCTGTTCTGTGTTTTTGCTATATTATTAGCACTTAGTAGGGTTCTTTTTCTAGAAGGTCTGTTTCCTGACTGCCAGAATGGAAAGTTTTTCTCTCATCAAATTTCGGAAGACACCTTTTTTTTTCTGATCGATTGAATGCATTCAGCTTGCACTAAAAATACGTGACTTGATAGAGGAGGGGGAGGAAGCAAGTCGTCCTGGGAAAGATGAGTGGGGGGAAGGCATCTAACAGTTCAAGAATCTGCATGGCTGGTTGCCTAAGGATAAGAGCCCCTGACTGCATTCCTTCTACTCAGAGTCAGTGTGTCCACTTGCGTGCAAGGCTGGGGCATCCAGAAGGTTCCTGCCAAGCTACGTAGCTTCCTGCCACTCCCTGGGACTTGCCAGCTCCCTTTTCTGTTTGCAAAGGGGCTCCACCATACCTAAATTATTACTTGCTGCTCTCTTCTTTATCAACAACACACACACACACACACACACACTCACTCTCTCTCTCTCTCTCTCTCAGTAAATATTTTAAGCTGTGTAGATCATCCAGTTTCTGTTACAACGACTCATCTCTGCCCTTATGACATGAAGCAACCAGAGACAGTGTGCAAACAAATAGACACAGCTGTGTGCCAATAAAATTTATTTACCAAAATTGGTCAGAGTTGGCCTGTGGTGTAGTTTGCTTTATTCTGTTGTAAATCATTTTAAACAGGACCTTGTCTATTGTCTTTTTCATTCCAATTAGCCCTGGTTTTGTAAAACTAACATATCTTCAGGGACAAATGGCTGCAACCTCACAATGCCATCCAGCTTTTTGCCTGTGCATGTTCTTCTGAAAAGTCTATGTTGCATAGTGTCGGTCGCCTGCTCTTCATCTGTTGCTGCAACATACCTTGACTTATAAAGACGACCGTTTACCCAATCACCACCAGTAAGGATTTGTCTAAGCCAATCATGGCAACCTTGTTTTCATTGGTCAGTGACTGGCTTCTGGGAATTCTGGGAGGGATCTTTTTTTCTCTTTGATAAAAAAGTAAGAAGCACAAAAACAAAGAGAAGACAGGCCCCTGAAGGCTCAGTGGAAGCTGATCAGCTGTTCTGATGAGTAGATAGATGAGAAACATTTCTTTCTTCTATAGTAAGTGGGCTTTGTTCACTCCTGTGAGTGAATGTGCTTTAACCTGCGGTAGTCACCTGTGGCCGTGATGTGACAGGCCTGAGAATGAAAGTGGTGGAACCACACAGCCAAGCCGGGGAGCATAGCCGCTGAGCGTCTTCTGTTAAATAAATCAGATGTAAATAAGAAATGTCCTTATGGTCTAAACTCCAAAAGAAGGAAGGCTGGCACAGAGGAAACAACATTTAGAATGTTCTTGTTCCTTCTGATTATTTTTCTAAGGGCCTCCTGGAATTCCTGGAAATTATTATCCCCTCTCCTTCCCAGCGTGTCGGCTTTCTTTCATTCCTCAAGGCCTAGTTGGTTTATCCGGGTCACCCCTCCCCGGCTCCCCAGCCCCTCCCATCTCAGTTGTTCACAACAGGTCTGCGTGCTGGTGCTTGTGTTGCTGGAAGCCTTTGTCCACAGAGGACCCCCGACTGGACGCAGTGCCGTTTCGCTCCTTCTGGCCCCTTGCTAGCCCTTATGCATTACTTGCCTTTTTCTCAGCTCTGTCTGATTGAACTTACAAGGTTCTGGGGGCAGAATCAGCTGAGTGCCCTCTAGGCACTTAAATGTTGTTCACTTTTCACAGGGAAAGTCTTCAGATGGCAGTAGGCCCATTCCTCCACATCCTGGAGAGCAACCTGCTAAGAGCCGTGGACCCTACCACTGCGCCTGACAAGATCAGGTACCCGGCACAGCAGCTCTGCTTTGTGTGCCTGAGGGCTGTGGGGACTTCTGGCTGCAGGCAGGGAGCCCACATCTTGGTGAGGCAAGATTCAGGTTGTCAGTGACGGAAGGGAGATGTTTAACAGGGCCCCCAGTCTCAAAGAGGTTCACAACCTTTTGACCTTTCTTCCTGCTGTACCCCTTCTATCATGTTTTGAAAATTTTATTTTATTGAAAAGAACCTCAAATTTATTTTTGCTTTCTCTCTTCGTTTTTAATTAACTGAACGTATGTCAAACAGTAGGCAATTATGATGTCACACTGATTTGATAAGATAATAGTCCAAAACAAAGATAATTGCTTAATGGATTGTGTAGTTTGAACCATTTTCATTGAATGTAAAGAAGGTATGATATCCATAAGGCATTTAAAAATGTTGGAAGTGTGCTTTGGGAGGCCGAGGTGGGTTGATTACAAGGTCAGGAGTTTGGGACCATCCTGGCCAACATGGTGAAACCCTGTCTCTACTAAAATACAAAAAATTAGTTGTGCGTGGTGGTGTACGCCTGTAGTCCCAGCTGTTTGGGAGGCTGAGGCATGGGAATTGCTTGAACCCAGGAGGCAGAGGTTGCAGTGAGCTGAGATTGCACCACTGCACTCCAGCCTGGCGACAGAGCAAGACCCTGTCTCTAATAATGATGATGATGATGTTGATGTTGAAAGTGGCTCATGAGCCTCCATTGCCACTCTGTAGCCTTGAATCCGAGGTTGGGACTATGGCTGTGGAATATTATGTGTCCTAGGCACTTGCTAAGTGTGGTCTGCAGAAAAACAGCCTCACCGTTGTCCAAGAACATGTCTTGATTCTCAGGCTCCAGACTGATCTACTGAATCAGTATCTGCAATTTAACAAGATCCTCAGATGATTGATATTCAGCTGAATTTTGGAGAAACGCTGTTGTGGGATTACACATCGCTAGAAGCTCATGATGGTGTAAGAGGCGTAGGGACAGTGAGTTGAAGCAGGAACTTCGGGCCCAGGTTTATCATAGCAGATCTTGAGAACGCTGTTTCCTGTCCTCCGCAGTACCTGCATTGACAGCACGTTCTTGCTGGCTTTTGCCGCCTTGCCACCCTCCACCTTGGATCTTTAGAATACCACAGCATCCAGTGCTAGTCTTCTAGGTTGGGGGTCCATAAATAAAATCCTTGATCTTTCCTAAGAGATGGCTACTGGTGTCAGGCAGATGTAGATTACATGGCACTCTTATTACGGATGTAAGCCATTTGGAGAATGTGTTGCGGGCCAAATGGGCTTATGAATATTCTTTTGAAATAAACTTAATTCCCCAAAACTTCAGGTGTCCCCAAGAAGGAGCAGACCTTGCCCTACTAAACTCATCCATGGCTGAAAGTAGGAAGAGCACTCCTGTAGGCTGGCAGGACCCACAGAGAGGAGAGAGGTAGGGCCTAAGCCACACATGCACAGTCTTGTCTTTGAAATTCATCAGGGAGGAGTGGGTGGGGTGCAAGGAGGAGGCCAGGAGAGTTTCTCTGGTGGGGACCCTCCTCATGAAGACACGGGGAGCGAGAACAGGGGTTCTTCCCACGATCTACTACAAAGGAGTTTGCTGAGTCAGGCTCAGCTGATTTCTAGATGTCACCTGGTTTCTGAAGCAAGCATGTCTTACTTAAAGGAGGCGGGCTGCATCCTGACCTTCAGAGTCCTGAGGTAGAGAATTATGGAGAGCTGTTTCCTCTTGCAGAAAGCTGTACCTCTACGCAGCTCATGATGTGACCCTCATACCGCTCTTAGTCACCCTGGGGATTTTTGACCACAAATGGCCACCGTTTGCTGTTGACTTGACTATGGAACTGTACCAGCACCTGGAGTCTAAGGAGTGGTTTGTGCAGCTCTATTACCATGGGAAGGTAAGACCCCTGAGGCGGGATTGGGTGGGGTGAGGCCCCTCCCCCAAAACCCACCCACCTGAGTTAGCACCAGGTCTCCCTCCTCAGGCCCAGTGGAGTCTCCCTTGGCACAGTCAGCTCTCCGAATCCTATAGGGTGACTCGTGGCTGTGGCCCAGGGGTCAGGCAGAACCTGACAGGTGGTGGCAGGATGGGGCTTGGGCCTTATCCCGGTTCTGTTACAGACTCCTTCAAGGAGAAGGGTCCCCCTCCTCTTCTCCTGAGTGTCCCTGTCAGGATGTCGCCTCCTGGCTGTGAGGCCTGTTTTGGAAATTGTTGATGGTGTCTCTGGGAGGTGATGTGTGCTTTTGGCACCTGTGGTGTTGGCCGCTTCATCAGGGCTGGTGTCCAGGGCAGAGGGCAGCACATGCACCAGGGATGAGCCTATTGGTTCTCCCAGCTCAGGGATATAACTTGATTGTCTCTTCCCAGTCAATTTTTTGAGTGGCTTTTATAAGCAAGGCATAGTGCTTTTATTCTGGAAGCTGACCAGGTAGTGGGGCCTTCCTGTCTGTATAATATGTGTGCACACGTCTACCACGTGGGTGAGAGCCTCTCAGGACTTTGGGCTCAGCTGGAAATAGGACAGGCTCCTCAGCGGAGCTGCTGAGTCATGTCTCTTCCGCAGGAGCAGGTGCCAAGAGGTTGCCCTGATGGGCTCTGCCCGCTGGACATGTTCTTGAACGCCATGTCAGTTTATACCTTAAGCCCAGAAAAATACCACGAACTCTGCTCTCAAGCTCAGGTGATGGAAGTTGGAAATGGAGAGTAACTGATTTATACTAGCAGGATGTGCTGATTTTAAAATAAAGCGCCTTTATACAATGCCTCCTGCTTTGTGTGTTCGGGAAGAGGAGGGAGCAAGGGGTAATGCACTTTAATATAAGGTAAGTATATTTCCTTTCTGTGGGTATATTAAGGTTTCTTCCTGAAAGGAAAGGGTTTATAATATTGAGACCAAAAGTTATTTCTCTATTTCGTGATTTGGTTTCTAAGGTTAGAAGCCAACCTGTGTGTGGCACGGGCTGGGGACATCATGACCCTGTAGAACTGTGTTGGTTTTGGACTTTAGTTCTTTTCTCCTAAATCAGTTTCAGATGTATTGAGCTACCTAAGTTGTGGTCATCATAAAGGTGAAAACATTCTGCCCTCAAGTTGTTGCAGTCCAGTGAGAGAGGCAGCTAAGTAAATCAGTGATACAGTGCAGTATGCTTGATGCTGTAATAGGTATTCGAGGGGCTTTTCGGATACAGAGAAGAAACCTGTGGCTCACAGGGCAGGGGATGTGGGGAACAGTGAAGGAAGGCGTCTGAGAAAGTCCTGCCCTGATCTGAGTAGAGGAAGGTGGGTAGGAGTTCACCAGGAAAGCAAGGAGGAAAGCGTGATGTGTGTAGGGAAAGGACAGGCTTCAAGGCCAGGGAATGTGGCTGGGTGGTGAGAGGGAACCCTGGGTGGGGAGGCCCAGCAGGGAGAAGCAGGAAGGACACTGGGCCCGGGTGGTTGTAGTTCCCATCTCAAACTAAGGGCCAGTCATAATGCCCTCAAGGTCCTATGGCACTGTGGGCCCCAGGACTCTGCAGTGGTGAGACTGGAACCACTCAACATAAGAGCTCCACCTTAGCTGTGCCCCCTGAGAGCACCTGATGATCCTCCTCTCCTTGTCAGTGTTCCCATTCTCCCCCAGAATCTATTTCAACCCTTCTCTGATTTTAAACCACCAGTCCCTTTACCTCTCAGAGAAAACAGAAACCACAAAGGCCTCTCCACTTCCTCCTACCTTAATATTGACAACTTCAGGAGGCAACACAACATATCTACAACCATCCGATCTTTGACAAACCAGACAGAAACAAGCAATGGGGAAAGGATTCCCTGTTTAATAAATGGTGTTGGGAAAACTGGCTAGCCATGCGCAGAAAGCAGAAACTGGACCCCTTCCTGACACCTTACACTAAAATTAACTCCAGATGGATTGAAGACTTAAACATAAGACCTAACACCATAAAAACCCTAGAAGAAAATCTAGGCAAAACCATTCAGGACATAGGTGTAGGCAAGGACTTCATGACCAAAACACCAAAAGCATTGGCAACAAAAGCCAAAATAGACAAATGGGACCTAATCAAACTCCACAGCTTCTGCACTGCGAAAGAAACAGTCATTAGAGTGAATCAGCAACCAACAGAATGGGAATAAATTTTTGCAGTTTACCCATCTGACAAAGGGCTGATATCCAGAATTTACAAAGAACTAAAACAGATTTACAAGAAAAAAACAAGCCCACTCAAAAGTGGGCGAAGGATATGAACAGACACTTTGCAAACGAAGACATACATGAGGCTAACAAACATGAAAACATGCTCATCATCACTGGTCAGTAGAGAAATGCAAATCAAAACTACATTGAGATACCATCTCACGCCAGTTAGAATGGCAATCATTAAAAAATCTAGAGACAACAGATGCTGGAGAGGATGTGGAGAAATAGGGACACTTTTACACTGTTGGTGAGTGTAAATTAGTTCAACCATTGTGGAAGACAGTGTGGCGATTCCTCAAGGACCTAGAAATAGAAATTCCATTTGACCCAGCAATCCCATTACTGGGTATATATCCAAAGGATTACAAATCGTTCTACTATAAGGACACGTGCACACGAATGTTCATTGCAGCACAGTTTACAATAGCAAAGACCTGGAACCAACCCAAATGCCCATCAATGATAGACTGGACAGGGAAAATGTGGCACATATACACCATGGAATATTATGCAGCCATCAAAAACGATGAATTCGTATCCTTTGTAGGGACATGGATGAACCTGGAAACCATCATTCTCAGCAAACTGACACAAGAGCAGAAAATCAAACACCGCATGTTCTCACTCATAGGTGGATGTTGAACAATGAGAACACATGGACACAGGGAAAGGGGCACTACGCACTGGGGTCTGTTGGGGGGAAATAGGGGAGGGAAAGTGGGGGGTGGGGAGTTGGGGAGAGATAGCATGGGGAGAAATGCCAGATATAGGTGATGGGGAGGAAGGCAGCAAATCACACTGCCACATGTGTACCTATGCAACAATCTTGCGTGTTCTTCATATGTACCCCAAAACCTAAAATGCAATAGATAAATAAATAAAAATATTGACAACTTCAGATCAGGGAGCTGAGATATCTCAAGCTCAGTTTCTCTTCTGAGCTTCAGACACTTTTATCCACTTGGATTTCACTGGCACAAGACGTTCCATGTCAGAATCAAACCCCTTTCCTCCTGGACCTGCTTTTCCCACACACTCCACTATCCACTCAGTTGCCACATGAGGAATCTCTTTGTTTTTTGTCTTACATTTTCCTATGTCTAATCAGTTAAGTTTTATCAATACTACCTGTTTATTTCTTCAGTCTGTCCACATATCTTTATCCTCAATCTTCAGTATCCCTTCCCATCCTCAGTCTGCTGGTTGCTGTATTTCTTATTTTACTAAGAAACTAAAAGAGATCAGAAGAAAACTTCCATATCTTCCCCCAACCCCAACCACTAAATCTGCTAGCTCAGTTGCATTGGTACTTTTATGGGACTTCCTTCCTTCCTCTTACTAAGAATGAACCAACACTACGCCATCCAAGCCCAACCCCTGGCTTTGCATGGACTCCTACTGTTATCTTTTTTCTGGATTGTCGATTTTTTTCTCTTGACCAGTTACTCCATTAGCATGCAAATATGCTGTAGAGTCTCCTGTCTTCAATTTTTTTTCTCTGCACCTTTGAACTGCTGTGCTCTTTTCCTTCTCTTTATAGCAGAACTCCTCAAAAGAGTTGCCACCTCTGATTCTTCCCTTCAAGTTCTCTCATGAACCAACTGCAATTAGGTATTCACCCCCACCACTCCATGGAAATGGCTCTTGTCAAAATTATCAATGGCCTCTGTGTGGTAAATCCAATAGCCAGTTTTTATTCTTCTTACTAAGCGTCTCATCAGTATTCCTGGACTATTTCCTTCATTTGGCTTCTAGGACAAATACTCTCTTGGTTTTCCTCCAGTTTCTCAACTTCGTTTCTGTTGAATCTACTTTTTTCTAATCTGTAAGTGTTGGAGTGTCCCAGGGCTTACTCCTTGGACCTTTTTTCCACCTTTCCCCCTACGCTCACCCAAGGCGATCTCAAGAATTTCCAATTTTAGGCCAGGCGCGGTGGCTCACGCCTGTAATCCCAACACTTTGGGAGGCTGAGGCAGGCAGATCACCTGAGGCCAGGAGTTCGAGACCAGCCTGGCCAACATGGCAAAACCCTGTCTCTACTAAAAATACAAAAACTAGCTGAGCATGTTGGCAGGCCCTGCAATCCCAGCTACTTGGGAGGCTGAGGCAGGAGAATTGCTTGAACTTGGGAGGCAGAGGTTGCAATCATGCCATTGCACTTGAGCAATGGCGTGCAATTTCTGTGCCTGTTCAAACCTACTCCTTCCACTGGCTTTCCCATCGAGGTAAATGGCACCACCGTTCACCCTGTCGCTTTGCCCTAGACTCCTTTCTTTTTCTCATATTCTACCTCTATACATGAGTAACTCCTGTTGTAGCTCTTTTCAGACTATATCCAAAATTGACCACATCCCAAGAGTTCCATTGCTACTGTCTTCTTTCACCTGGATTATTGTGAAGGCCTTGTAGCTAGTCTTCCTGTTTCTGCCCTTCCCGTCTCTGCCCCTCTATTCTCAACATAGTGTTGCTTTTAGAACAAAGTCAGATCATGCCACTCTTCCACTCAAAATTCCCCATTGGTTTCCCATCTCAAACTAGAGGTCAGTCATAATGCCCTTAAGGTCCTGTGACATCTCACCGCATCCCAGCCATACTAGCCAGCTTACATTCTTCCTCTTTGCTTGTAATAGAAACTTTTTATTTTCTTTGTAGTTGACAGGTAATAATTGTATATATTTATGGAATACAGTGTTGATGTTTTGATATATGTATGCGTGAAAGAATGATCAAATCAAGCTAATTCAAATAGCTATCACTTCATCTACTTATCACTTTCTTGTGGTGAGAATGTTGAAGATTACTCTTTAGTAGTTTTCAGGTATACAGCCACTGTAGTTTGAACGCATCTGTCTTCTCCAAATTTTATGTTGACACTTAGTGTCTTGTACAATGTTACTGGGAGGTGGAGCCTAATGGAGATATTTAACGGATTAATGCCATTATAAAAAGGGCTTGCAGGAATGGGTTCCTTCTCTTTTGCTTTTCTGCCGTATGATGACAAAGTGTTTCTACTCTCTGGAGGATGCAGCAATAGGCACCATCTTGGAAGCAGAGAGACCAGGCCCTAACCTGCTGGTGCCTTGATCTTGGGCTTCTCAGTCCAGAACTGTGAGAGAAGGAATTCTGTTCGTTATAAATTACCCCATCTGTGGTATTCTGTTATCGCAACACAAAATGGACTAAGACAACAGTATACTGTTATGAACTGTGGTCACCGTGCTGTGCACTAGATCACAGAAACTTACTTCTCCTGTCTAACTGAAACTGTGTACCTTTTGACGAACATCTCCGTTTTTCCCATCATCCCCTCCCCTCCTTACTATCCATGAAGATGGAGTATGCCAAGTAGCCCTGAGCCACGTCCGCACCTCACGGTGAGCGCAGTTGCTCTGCCTGGAATGCTCTCCTGGGCGCTTGCGTGGCTAGCTCCCGCCCTTCATCCAGATCTCAGCTCACCGTCACCTTAGAGACGCCCTCGTTTCACCTCCTGCCTTAGGCACACTCTGTCACCTTCTCTTAGGGGCTGAATTGTGTCCCCCCAACATTGGTCCTAACCCCTAGTACAGTAAGCCCTCACTCAGCGCTGTCAGTAGGCTCTTGGAAACGTCAACGTTCAGTGGAAGGACAGATCCAGGTCTTTTAATAACACTGTGTTTTGTTCAACGTTGTTGCCCTGTAACATTGAGAAAAAAATTGGTTTTCTAATATGTTGTTTTACTTAAAGTTACAGTTTCCAGGAACCTACCAATGATGTTAAGGACTGAATGCACCTCAGATGTGACTGTATTTGGAGATAGGGCCTTTTAAGAGGTAGTGAAGGTCAAGAGTTAAGGTGATATGGGTGGGCCCTAATCCAGTATGACTGGAATCCTTATAAGAAGAGGAAATGAGGACACAGACACAAGAGGGAAGATGACCGTCTACATGCCAAGGAGAGAGGCCTCAGAAGAAACCCGCCCTGCTGACACGTGACCTGGGACTTGCAGCCTGTAGCACTGTGAGGAAATACATTTCCATTATTGAAGCCAGGAGTCTGTGATACTTTGTTACAGCAGGCCCTAGCAAATGAATACACTTCGTTCTGTTTTTTTCCAACCCCCACCCCCGCGATATTTATCAGAGCTGGATATTACATATTTGTATATCTACATGCTTATTTCTGTGACTAAAATGGAAGCTCCATGAAGGCAGGTTTCTTCTTGTTCACTGATGTGTTCTCAGCACCAGGAAGAGTGCCTAGTGCATGCTAGCGCTCAGGCATTTGGACATGTGAATGACACATCCCCTCTGTCACTTCTCTTCGGGGCCCATGGCCACCCTCCTAGGTACCACGGTGGCTTCCTAAGGGGCCACATTCGCACGTGCTTTCCATCACCCCACCTGGCCCCTGCCTACCTCTCCAGCTTCACCCTTCACATGCCTCCCTCGCCAGACACATAGTATGTTTTTTAAAAAGTCCCACTTCTCTGCCCTCTTTACCTTGGCGCACATTTTCCCGTCGCCTGACCCTGACACACATTCCCTTTTCCCGTTTAATCCCTGATTATCTCTAGGCCTTCCGTGTTTCTGTTTGTCCTTTTTATCCTTCAATAGAAGGTTGTTTGTCTTGTCTTTTACTGTATTTCTAGAACCAAGTACAGAGACTACCAAGTGAACCTCAGCAAAGATTTACTGAATGAATAAATGAGTTCAAAACTGTAAGACTGAACTTTTCTGTCAGCACCCTGCTGGCTTCTGTGCACTTTCCCTCCACTCACCACTAGGGGGAAGCATGGAGTAAAAGGAAAACTAAGGCTTTCACTGGGTTCAAATTTTGACAGCGTTTTTTATTTCTTTGCAACCCTTGGACAGGTGTTTCTGAGCCTGTTTTTCCTCTTATGTAAAAATGGGCATAATGGTACGTACTAATTAGGGTTGTTGTGAGAATTAATTGAGGAAACGTGTAAGTGCCTTCAAATGTTCTTTTCCCTTTTCTCTTTCATCGCACTTCCCACGAGATTCTTGACTGCAGCAGGTTTCCCAGGAGGAAGGGAGCCTTTGGGGATGCCCCCCTGCAGGCAGCGCCCCCTCTCCCCTGGCCCTTCCCGGGGCACTGTTCCTGTGTGTGCAGATTTGTACGGAAAGAACCCTGGTTCCCGCGCTCACCAGTTGTGTGACTGTGGGCCTGCCACTTAATTTCTCTTAGATTTTCCCAACTGTAAAGCAGGGAAGTTAATGTTTATCTACCTGATGACTTGTCCTGAGGATAGAAAGTACGGTGTGAAAAGCTCTTCCCAAACTCCCACCCTCTCCCTGCCTTAACTCCCCACAGGAGGCTCTCACCCGTGTATGGCAAAGTAAAAGGCTTCCCCGGACGCAGGAGAGTGGTCACTCCCCTTCACCCACATAGCCGGGCTTGCCAGGGAAGGCTGACTTCATCTGCGGCTCCCGGATAGCTCTTCCCAAGGGTCTCGTGGCTCATCTTACAGAGCTCCTGGCTCTGGCAGGCCCTGGGATGAAGGACTGTCACTCCACAAGACCCTTCATTGCCACGTGCCGATTCCCCTGTAACAGTTTCACGTGGATCGTTAAAAACAATAGCAAGGGGACAGAAATCCTGAAGGGCCCAACTGAAGAGGGAGGAGAGAGTTCCCGTCCTACCCTCCCCTAGTTTTCGGCAGCAGGACCTGGCGTGCCAACCTGTTTATTTTCATTGTAGGAAACTCAGGTCTTTGTCGGTGGCACCTGGCACCCCTTTTCCTCAGCTGGAATCCTCTAGGGCACTGCCATTTACCTGCAGAGGAGGCTGGGCAGGCTGCGGTCGGCAGTGGCAGGATCTTGGCTCACTGTAACCTCCTCCTCCCGGGTTCAAGCAATTCACTTGCCTCAGCCTCCCAGGTAGCTGAAACTACAGGCACGCACCACCGCACACAGCTAATTTTTGTATTAGGGACGGGGTTTCACCGTGTTGGCCAGGATGGTCTTGATCTCCTGACCTCGTGATCTACCCACCTCAGCCTCCCAACGTGCTGGGATTACGGGCATGAGCCACTGTGTCTAGCGGGGATCATTCTTCAGTTTGGGAGCTAGAGCGTGCACCCTGGGGCTGTTAGGCAGCAAGGAGTCCCTTCTGCTGGGTGGGGAATCCCCCGAGGAGATGACTGTGCCCTTTTCAGACCCTGCCCTCTCGTGGCCAAGAGGACCTTGCAGTCCAGTTCCTCCCAGTCCACCCTGCCAGCCTCTGGAAACCTGGCCCCTGTCTAAGGCTGGCTGGAGAGAACTGAAAAACACTTTCCCCAGTAGGAATCTGGTCTTCCCAGGATTTCGCTCTCCATGTGGCCTTTAAATCAAATGTACCTTTTCCTGAGGAAACTAGGAGGGGGGCAGTGGCCCACAGTCACCATGTCTGAGAACTCAAGAGACCACTGACCTTGGAGTCATGTGCTTTGAGTTCAAGTCCTGCGCTGTAGCTACTACCTGTGTGACTCTGGGCAAGTCCATTAACTTCTGTTGATGAACTGTGTATCTTCATTTGTGCAATGGGACTCTAACATAGCATCTCCCTCACGGATTTATCCTCGGACTCACATAGATTAGGTATGGAAAGCACTTCCTAATATGAAAAGTGTTATGCACATATAAGGCATTGCTCCTGCTATGCCAGAAAAGCCTCTTTGTGGCTTCTCTGGAACGTTCCTCAGGGCTGTGGGCAGTGGATGCCTGGACCTTGATGTCTTGCCCCTGGGAGGTAAGATCTTGGTGGCCGAAGACTAGGCTGTTTGCAGGGTGCTTAAGTCACGTGAAGGATAGTAAAAGAAGCACCTACCTTGGAGTTAAGAGCCAGGGATTTGGATTCCAGATTTAGCACTTTCCTGGGCCCTGTGACCTTGGGCAGCTCCTTTAGCATTGCAGAGTTTCTGTTTATCCACGTGGGAGGATGGCGATACTCTCTGCGGCGGGTGGTGGAGGGGATGTAAGCAAAATAACCATAGGAAAGGTTGTGAAAGGTGCTAGGGTCTCAAATACAAATTTTGAACATGCATCTTCTTGTATTTGGGCTTAAGGAAACTAGAGTCCAGCAACCTACTGTGTGCCGAGAAGTTTGAGTCACTCTGTGTCATACAGAGATTTTTAGAGAAGGCCAGTATATGCTTTGAAATCAAAGGTACAGCTAGGTAAACCAGCGAAGGGGGTGTGCTGGGAGGCTGGGGCCAGTGGTGATAGAGCTGTTTATATTGGTGGGAAAGCAGGGTATTTTTCTCTGAGGCAAGCCTTTCACAAAGGAAAATCTGCATTTGAGAGAGATCAGAAGTCTCACAGGTAAGGGAAAGATGTAAGGAAATGGCCTGTGCTGAATCACTGCGAGGGACAGTATTCATCAGAGAATTAATTTGGAAGGAAATAGAGTGTGAAATAGCGGTAAGGCTTTCAACTCTGGGCACCGTGGCCTTAAAAACCCAAGCAGTGCTTCAGAGGCTTGCCAAGACCCAGTCTGGGAGCTACCTCCGGAAAAGCAGCTGGGGGATGCCCAGAGACCACAAATTGCTGAGCTTGGGAGGAGCTGATTGAGTGTGTAATTAAGGGGAGGGTTGTATAACACTTGGGTAAGTAGAACTTGATGGGGTCAAACCAGCAGGGCTTCTGGGAGATGAGAGAGCAGTCCCTGGAGCTGTTAGTAACTGAAGCCAGCTGCATAGAGGTAGGCACAGCTTACCTGAGCCTTGCAGAGAGAAGGATGGAAGAGATCGGGAAGGGGAAAGGTTGAAGGAATGGTTGTTCTCTAGGTCAAATGTTCCAAAATGCTGAATACCTCAGGGGTTCAGTTCTAGGAATAAGATACCATTATGGAGCAATGGGGAAAAATCCCTGGAAACTGAAGATCAGAGAGGCTGTGGCACCATGGAGATTTAATGGATTCTGCACTGCAGTTGTGCATCTGGATTGCATCTCGGCCAGGTGGCTAACACCTGTAATCCTAGCACTCTGAGAGGCTGAGGTCAGAGGATCACTTGAGCCCAGGAGTTTGAGACTAGCCTGAGCAACATGGCAAAACCGCATCTCTCAAAACATTTAAAATTTAGCTTGATGGGGTGGCAAGTGCCTGTAGTCTCAGCTACTCACGAGGCTGAGGTGGGAGGACCACTTGGGCCGGGAAGTCAAGGCTGTGGTCACCTATGTTTGCGATACTGCACTCTAGCCTAGGTGACAGAGCAAGACTCTGTGTCAAAAAAACAAAAAGAGGCCCGGCGCGGTGGCTCACGCCTGTAATCCCAGCACTTTGGGAGGCCGAGGCGGGCAGATCACGAGGTCAAGAGATCGAGACCATCCTGGCCAACATGGTGAATCCCTGTCTCTACTAAAACTATAAAAAAATTAGCTGGGTGTGGTGGCACATGCCTGTAGTCCCAGCTACGCGGGAGGCTGAGGCAGGAGAATTGCTTGAACCCGGGAGGCGGAGGTTGCAGTGAGCCAAGGTCGTGCC